TGCACATCTTTCCTGGAAGAGAAAAACATGATGATTGAGTTTGATTTGTGCCAGATTCAGAGTACACACGTAACTTTAGTTTGCAAAAAAAAAAAAAAATTGAGGTCAATATCTAGCTCTAATCTGTCACCAAAATAGTTTGGGACAAATCCCAAACCTTTGTTCAACAGTAGGACTTCCCCTGTAGATAGAGGATATGATGAGAGATTTACCAATAGGTTGTACATGTTGTCTTGCTCCAAGTTGCACTGCTCACTGGAACTCTTACTGGTGCGTTTCCCCCACCTTCTAAGATTTGTGTCTGATTGTGAGGAGGACTGTGACTGTTTATCCTGATTTATATTGTCTCTCTTTACCCTGCATTCGTATTTCCAGGTATAGACCTGGTCCTGATAATCTGTGATGTCCCTCCTTAATTTATCAAGTTTTGTTGTCAGGACCTGTTTCTTGTAATGTTCCATAATTGTATTACAGAATGTGTTTCAAGAAAAGATGTTAGGCTTTCCCTTATGCTTAAAGTTTCTATACATTCACGTAGGGAATTAGTTCATTCTTCAAATTTAGTTATTTCACCCTGAATACCTTGCATTGTTAAGGCAATGAGAGCCAGACTGCACTTGTTAAAGATTCAAAACCATTTATCACAAAATTCTTTGTTAGAGTGACAAAAAGTAGGGCGGATAGTGAGTCTCAGTCCTCTCTGGATCATTTTAGCTCTGAGATATTCTACCAGAGTAACTGAGTGTAGTTGAAATTGAATAGCTTGTTTAGAGAGAGCCTCAAATTGTTTCTGCAGATATCAGCAGTAAATGGACTATCTTGTCCAAAACGCTCTACAATCTAGTCTAGTTCCACCTGACTAAACAACAGGGTATCTGCACTCTTATTAGTAAGTGCGGTTAGGTCTAAAAAAGACATAGCCACCAGAATGGGTGCAATAACCAGTACAAAGATGAAAAAAAAAACCACGTTATTAACAATAAAGGTATGCACACCGCTATTAACTACACCATTCAGCAACCAGCGATATATTATTATTTAGGGTGCTTAAACTCATGCAGGCACTCTACCTTGGCAGTGGCTGTGCTAACCATCAACAAATATTTGTGTATGGCACCATGACAGGCTCTGGAGTATCATATAATCACCATCAGGCAATCAGCATGGTGAGCAGTAATGATACAGGCTTCAGTGACACTATACCTCTAGTGCTCCTTCTGGAGCATGCACTAAATGGTGTAATAGACTGGGAACTGGAAGTACATCCCTGGTGTCCCAGGGCCCACTTTATCTTCACATCCCTGTGAGGCCGCATCAGGCACGAAAGTAACATGAGGAGAAGGAGGAGTGTAGAGGTGCTGGCATTGAGGAGGAGGACATTGGGCTGGCTTCTAGGGGTACATTTCAACCTGGCTTTACAAAAATCAATTTTTCAGTCGACTCTTGTTAAAAGGCCTTGATGGACAATTGTCTGCTGAATTGTGACTGCATCAACTATAGGTCCTGCCAGCTGTTAAATACAATAGAAAGGAGAGGAGAATCTTTCATCCACACTGCTTAGCCACCCTGACTTCACCTACTTCAGTCCTGGCCTCAAATAAGACCGACGTAAGCCACAGGACTGAGGAACGGTGAAGAATGGGGTGTGGGGGACGGCAGTGAGCTTTGGTTTGTGCTATGATTTCCATGGAGGTTTTCAGACATCTACTCCCACAGGTTCCCTTTAAGCAAAAGTGGTCAGGGATTAGCACTTATATCTAATATAAACGATACTTTTGGTATTACTGTAGTGTTAGGCTTAAATTATATTTCTCCTAGGATCAGCTGCGGTCACATCTGCAGTGATGAATGCTATAGGGAACATATGGGAGGGGTGGAATGGTTCCACAAGCTAGCATCAACAAATCAGTATATATACACTGTGCAGTAGTATCATAAATAGCACCAGAGTAATGCATGTAAAATATATGCGGTACTGCCACAGTAAATCTTTGATTGCATTGATATGTGCATAAAATTAAACCCTCGAAAACATTCTAATCTAAAGAATTACAGTATCAAAATAATCAGGAAACTAGATATTGCATTGCTTTCTTATGATTTGTTGAAGTGTTATCATGTGAAATTGTTTTTTTTACCATTTGTTATATTGTTATATTGTTGAATTATTAGTGTCATACGCCTCATTACAAGCAACATTTGCATTTAGCTGCTTCTTAATATATCATTTAGGACAACAGCTATTCAATGTTTATGTCTTGAGGGAACATTGTAATGCTTTCTGTTACCTTTTGGTAGAATGCAGTAATATTGGGAGATTTATTCAACGCCTCCCCTCTAATCTTGTTGGAATGGGATTATTTTTGTCACTTGCAATTGCCTGTTAGGACACTATGGCCAATAACTTTAAAGAGTCAGCAGTTGTTTCACTAATGAAAATTAAAGATTGAGAATGGATTATTCAGGACTGCATTTACTCTTTAAATTATATCATAAATATAGATGGTAAGGTAAGCCTGAGGTGATCTTTTCTGCAGGAGAATGAAAAATTAAAGGGAAATAGCTGCGGCGAACTAAAGCAGAAGTGGGAGCGGGTACCTCTCAAAAACAGGTACTCTCTCCCCCCAAAAGATGCCAAATATGGCAGCGGAGGGGGGGAGGAGGCAGATAAGTGAGGCTTCCACTTTTAGATGGACCTCAGCTTTAAAGGACCCATCAGAGTCTCTGCATATTGGTCATTATGATATGATTGTATGAATTCCTTTAGATTTACAAAAAAACATGTAATGTAAGGCAGGCCATAGATGAAGTGATTTTCTTTTCCCTAACCACGCCTGGTAGGAAAGAAAATCTCTCAATTCCCCCATCAACACAGTCAATGTTTATATGGGTATCCCTCCTGTGGAGCCATTGTGTTTTCCCAGGAGAACACAATGATTAATGCCAGCAGCTGACAATAATTGCATGCTAGAAATCCAACATGCTGGTTGCACCCAAGTCGATCGCTGGACCGACTTGATTACAATCAGCCTGTCCATACATAGATTGAATCTCAGCCAGTCCCTGCTGAACCAGTCAAGATTCAAACCATCTATGCACAGCTTAGGGGCCAACCTTGCAAGAACCTACATTCTTATACAAAGGTAGTGAATTTACTTAAAGCGTTATTAAACTCAAAAGCAAATTTTTCCTTTATTGCATCTTACCAGTTCTGAGATGTTTTTTTCATGTAAAACCTTAATTCCAAAAGAAAAAAAAGTCTGTTGCTGTGTAACTGCAATGTAACCTGAAGTTTGGTTTCAGTTTGTTAGTGTATCTAAATCTGCTATTCCATCTAACACCCCCTCCCAGATTACCATTCCTGCTGTTCAAAGGTGCCCCTGTGTTCCTTCATCCATAGTGGGGGCACTCTAATACAAGAGGTGTGTCCAGGGGCAGACTGACAACTCATGGGGCCCCCGGGCAATAGGGGATCACGGGGCCCCTGTGTCCTTGCCCAAACTCAAAAAAACCTATGAAAAAGGTACCAGGGGCATCTCATGGGGCCCCCTACTGACCCCGGGCCCTCGGGCAGTGCCCGAGTTTTCAAATGGTCAGTCCACCCCTGGGTGTGTCACTCTCCAGATCATCAGGTGGAAACAGAAGTCGGAAGCCTAAAAAAAATGAATGCCTAAAAACAAAAGAAAACTAGTACAGCTACCACATCCAAGGGCCAGTAAGCTGCAATAGATTACATTTTTGAATTCCAGTTTAATACTGCTATAAGATGAAGGGCCTCAAATGCAGCCCCTGACATCATCAAAGAAATGCAACAGGAGATAGAGGATATGGGCATGCTACAAGAGCTGATCAGGGACTGGGAACATGCTGCAAAAAGCAGTCATAGACTTGAGAAAGATTACACGAGATAGCTAGAGATCAGTGATATTACCATCCTTCACAAATCAATGCTCCCAAATTTTGCTCCCTACACTCCTCTTAGAAATCACTCGTGCTACATCTGATATTTCTCTTGGCAAGATCAGAGGAAAAATAAAGATATAAAAAGAGACAAGAGGCAGAAAAGGAAAAAGTAGCATATTGTGAAAGACATAAATCAAACCCATTAGCTACTACAGGCTACTGTATAATTTTTTTTTTTGGTTTGAGCACAAAACACAGACTACTGTCTGCATGGGCCCCAAGGGCCAGTCAGTACCTGGCAATTACACTTCCCCAAGTGGCAAGTTGAGCAATGGGGCTCCCATACTACATTCTTGGAAAATCAAAGAGAGATTGTTCATAGATTGCATAATCATATTGCAATGTCTGTGGACAGCTTAGAGAATTACCTGAACCTGATTAAATATTATGGAAGCATGCATATTATATAAAATGATGTAATATTAAAAGGCTAACAGTTTACTTGCAGCATTTGATAGTATTAGAGATTCAGTGGAACAGAAGAAAAATAAACAAGAGAAAGTAGGCTAGTGCCTGGGGATGTACAAGAACATCAGCAATCTGTGTGACAAGGCACTTACAGAATGCTATATTTCTTGATTCATCCTTCTTCCCAAGAGAAGGATAAACTGAATTAAATGTATAGGGATATATATTTATTTTTAAGACAAGCTATATTTGAATCCATGCATTCATCAGATGAACATAAAGAACAACCCTTTGGAGAAGATAAAAAAATAGAAGCTTTTGTCATCTGCTTGGAAACAGGTAGCTTTAAATACTAACAGAACACAAGATTAGCTCTCATACAATAATACAATAAAGGGCATCCATCTAAAATTTTAAGCCAAAACAAATAAAACATTATTATATATATATATATATATATATATATATATATATATATTTTTATTTGTACACTATATTGTCAAAAGCATTGAGTTGGCCCCCCTTTGCAGCTGTAACAGATTCAACTCTTCTGGGAAGACTGTTCACAAAGTTTAGAAGTGTGTCTATGGAATATTTGACCATTCTTCCAGAAGAGCATTTGTGAGATCAAGCACTAATATCAGATGAGAAGACCACACAAAGTTTGGAGGTTTTTAGCTATTGACTCTGCAGACAGTTGGCGACTTCTGTGCACTGTGCGTTTCAGCATGCGCTGACCCCATTCTGTCATTTTACGTGGCCTACAACTTCGTGGCTGAGTTGCTGTTGTTCCCAGTTGGTTCCACTTTGTTATAATAGCACTAACAGTTGACTGTGGAATATTTAGTAGCAAGGAAATTTCATGGGTGGACTTACTGCACAGGTGGCAACCTATCACGGTACCAAGCTTGAATTCACTGAGCTCCTGAGAGTGATCCATTCTTTCACAAATGTTTGTAGAAGCAGTCAGCATGCCTAGGTGCTTGATTTTATACATCTGTGGCCATGGAGGTGATTGGAACATCTGAATCCAGTGATTTGGAGGGGTTTTCCAATATGTTTGGCAATACAGTCATGGCCGAAATTGTTGGCACCCTTGATATTTTTCCTGAAAATCAAGTATTTCACACAAAAAAGGTATTGCATTAACACATGTTTTTTGCTATACACATGTTTATTCCCTTTGTATGTATTGGAACAAATATAAAACAGAGGCAGAAAAGCAAATATGACATAATGTCACACAAAACCCCAAAAATGGGCTGGACAAAAGTATTGGCAACCCTTAACTTAATATTTGGTTGCACACCCTTTGGAAAACATAACTGAAATCAGTCGCTTCCTATAACCATCAATAAGCTTCTGACACCTCTCACCCGGAATTTTGGACCACTCTTCCTTTGCAAACAGCTCCAGGTCTCTCTTATTGGAAGGACACCTTTTCCCAACAGCAATTTTAAGATCTCTCCACAGGTGTTCAATGGGATTTAGATCTGGGCTCATTGCTGGCCACTTCAGAACTCTCCAGCGCTTCTTTGCCATCCATTTCTGAGTGCTTTTTGACGTATGTTTGGGGTCATTGTCCTGCTGGAAGACCCAGGATCTTGGACGCAAACCCAGCTTTCTGACACTGGGCCCTACAGTGCGACCCAAAATCCTTTGGTAATCCTCAGATTTCATGATGCCTTGCACACAGTCAAGGCACCCAGTGCCAGAGGCAGCAAAACAACCCCAAAACATCATTGAACCTCCACCATATTTTACCGTAGGTACTGTGTTTTGTTCTTTGTAGGCCTCATTCCGTTTTCGGTAAACAGTAGAATGATGTGCTTTACCCGAAAAGCTCTATCTTGGTCTCATCTGTCCACAAGACGTTTTCCCAGAAGGCTTTTGGCTTACTCAAGTACATTTTGGCAAACTGTAGTCTTGCTTTTTTATGTCTCTGTGTCAGCAGTGGGGTCCTCCTGGGTCTCCTGCCATAGCGTTTCATTTCATTTAAATGTCGACGGATAGTTCGCGCTGACACTGATGCTCCCTGAGCCTGCAGGACAGCTTGAATGTCTTTGGAACATGTTTGGGGCTGCTTATCCACCATCCGGACTATTCTGCGTTGCAATCTTTCATCAATTTTCCTCATCCGTCCACGACCAGGGAGATTAGCTACAGTGCCATGGGTTGCAAACTTCTTGATAATGTTGCGCACTGTGGACAAAGGCAAATCTAGTTCTCTGGAGATGGACTTGTAACCTTGAGATTGTTGATATTTTGCCACAATTTTGGTTCTCAGGTCCTCAGACAGTTCTCGTCTCCTCTTTCTGTTGTCCATGCTTAGTGTGGCACAGACAGACACACAATGCAAAGGTTAAGTGAACGTCTCTCCTTTTTATCTGCTTTCAGGTGTGATTTCTATATGATTTCCACACACTGTTTACTTGCCCCAGGTGAGTTTTACAGGAGCATCACATGCTTGTAACATTCTTATTTATCCGCAGTTGTGAAAAGGGTGCCAATACTTTTGTCCAGCCCATTTTTGTGGAGGTTTGTGTGACATTATGTCGAATTTGCTTTCTTTCCTCCCTTTTTTTGTTTTGTCCCAATACACACAAAGGGAATAAACATGTGTATAGCAAAACATCACGGTGTTGAATGCAATACGTTTTCGTGAGAAATACATGATTTCCTGGAGAAATATCAAGGGTGCCATCTGAATCAGTTGATTTGGCCATGACTGGCAATATACTCCTTTGTTATTTCTTCATCAATTAAGCAGGTAAAAGGTCTGGAGTTGATTATAAGTGTGGTATTTAATTTGGAATCTATTGCTGTGAACCTACATCATGTGTTCAAAGGAACTGTCCATGCAAGTGAAAGAGGCCATTGTAAGGCGTCAAAAACAAAACAAATCCATCACAGAGATAGCGGAAACATTAGGAGTGACCAATTCAACAGTTTGGTACATTCTGAGGAAAGAAGAATGCACTGGTGAGCTCAGCAACATAAAAAGGCATGGACGTCCACCTAAGACAACAGTGGTGGATGATCGCAGGATCCTCTCTACGGTAAAGAAAAACCCATTCACAACATCCAGACAAGTGAAGGACACTCTCCAGGAGGTGGGCATATCATTGTCAAAGTCTACAATCAAGAGAAGACTTCACAAGAGCAAATATAAAGGGTTCACCACAAGGTGCAAACCATTCATAAGCCTGAAGAATAGAAAAGCCAGATTAGACTTTTCCAAAAAACATCTAAAAAAGCCAGGCTTGTTCTGGAAAAGCATTCTTTGGACAGATGAAACTAAGATTAATCTGTACCAAAATGACTGGAAGAAAAAAGAGTGGAGAAGGCTTGGAACAGCTCATGATCCAAAGCACACAACGTCATCTGTAAAACATGGTGGAGACAGTTTGATAGCATGGGTATGCATGGCTTCCAGTGGCACTGGGTCATTGGTGTTTATTGATGATGTGACAGAAGACAGAAGCAGCCGGATGAATTCTGCAGTGTTTAGAGATATACTGTTAGCCCAGATTCAGCCAAATGCAGCAAAGTTTATTGGACGGCAATTCACAGATGGACAATGATCCAAAACACACTGAAAAGGCAACCCAGGAGATTTTGAAGAAAAAGAAGTGGAATATTCTGCAATGGCAGAGTCAAACATCTGATCTCAACCCAATTGAGCATACATTTCACTTGCTGAGAAGGCAAAACCAAAGACAGAAAGACCCACAAACAAAGAACAACGGAAGAAAGCTGCAGTTAGAGCCTGGCAAAGCATCAAAAAGGAGGAAACCCAGTCTTTGGTAATATCCATGTGTTCAAGACTTCAGGCAGTCATTGGCAGTAAAGGATTCTCAACAAAATATTAAAAAATGAACATTTTATTTATGATTATACTCAATCGTCCAATTACTTTTGGTCCCTTTAAAAAGGGAGGGTGGCTGTAATTCATAAACCCTTCCTCCAATTTGCATGTACACCTGAGAGTGTGCACTTGCAGTTCATATCCATAATATAACTATAGCTTGAATATGGTAAATACCTGAAAAAATCTAAATTGTGTCTGTGCCCAAATATATATATGGAACTAATTGTATATATATATATATATATATATATATATATATATATATATATATACACAGGACTTAAACTGGGAGGGAATATTGGCATTGAAGAACACGTAACAGAAATGGGAATTTTTCAAAAAGACTGTATGTGAACACCCTGAAAAAGAATAGGCAATAAGTATAAAAGGCTACAAATAAAGCCTATGTGGCTCGGGTCCAAAGTTAAAAAAACTATAAAAAAAATAAGAAAAGAGCTTTTAAAAAATTTCAAATGAAGGAACACTATCATCATTTAAATGCTACAAAGAATATAACAGAATATGTAAAAAGGAAATCAAGCATGCAAAAATTCAAAATGAACAAAGCACCTGGATCAGATGACATACACCCGGGGATCCTAAAAGAATTGACCTCTGTCATTTCAAAACCATTGTTTCTAATATTTAGAGACTCTTTAATGACTGGTATAGTACCACTGAATTGGCGTAAGGCCAATGTGGTGCTTATATTTAAAAAGTGATCAAAGTCTTTACCAAGTTTCTACAGATCTGTTCGTTTAACTTCTGTAGTCAAGAAGATGCTGGAAAGTTTAATGAAAAACCACACAGATGAGTTCTTGCTAGAGAAAAACATTTTAAGTAACAGAAAGCATGGATTCATGAAAGATAGAGGTTGTCAAACAAATCTGATTTCTTTTTATGAGGAGGTGAGCAAAACCTTACACAAAGGAGTAGCTGTGAATATCGTATACTTGGATTTTGCAAAAGTGCTTGACACAGTTCCCCACACACAGCTAATGTTTAAATTCTACAGGCTTGGAAAAATCATTTTGTACATGCATAGAAAACTGGCTAAAAGGATCGTATTCAGAGAGCAGTGGTTAATGATTCATACTCAGAATGGTCTAAGGTTGTTACTGGGGTACCCCAAGGTTCAGTGTTGGGACCCTTATGTTTTAATATATTTATAAATGATATAGGGTCTGGGATTAAAAGTAACATTTCAGTCTTTGCAGATGATATCAAACTACAAAGTATTGGAACACCCCTCCAAATCATTGGATTCAGGTTTTCCAATCATCTTCATGGTCACAGGTTTACAAAATCAAACACTTAGGCATGCAGACTGCTTCTACAAACATTTGTGAAAGAATGGGTTTCAGTACATCCATGAAATTTCCGTGCTACTAAATATTCCACAGTCAACTGTTAGTGGTGTTATAACAAAGTGAAAGCAACTGGGAACAACAGCAACTCAGCCATGAAGTGGTAGGCCATGTAAAATGACATAGTGGGGTCAGCACATATTGAAGAGCACAGTGCGCAGAAGTTGCCAACTGTCTGCAGAGTCAATAGCTAAAGACCTCCAAACTTCATGTGGCCTTCAGATTAGCACAACAACAGTGTGTAGAGAGCTTCATGGAATGGGTTTCCAAGGCCAAGCAGCTGCATTCAAGCCTTACATCACCAAGTGCAATGCAAAGCGTTGGTTGCAGTGGTATAAAGCACATTGCCACTGGACTCTAGAGCAATGGAGACATTTTCTCTGGAGTGAGGAATCATGCTTCTCTGTCTGGCAATCCGCTGGACGTGTCTGGGTTTGGCGGTTGCCCAGAGAACAGTACTTGCCTGACAATATTGTGCCAAATGTAAAGTTTGGTGGAGGGGGATTATGATGTGGGGTTGTTTTTTCAGGGGTTGGGTTTGGCCCCTTAGTTCCAGTGAAGGGAACTCTTAAGGCATCAGTATATTAAGACATTTTGCACAATTTCATGTTCCCAACTTTGTGGGAACAGTTTGGGGATGGCCCTTTACTGTTCCAACATGACAGTGCACAAAGCAAGGTTCATAAAGACATGAATGAGAGAGTTTGGGGAGGAGGAACTTGACTAGTCCTGACC